AAATTCGATTGCCATTTATCTCCGATTTGGCAGGGATGTTTAAATTTTTGAAAATTAACCAAAATGTCAAAAAGTGGCCTTATGTTTGAGGCCATATATTTTTCTATCAATTTAAGGGAATAACCCCTTGAGAAAAGTACATCTCCATAATTTTTTCTTTTGATTGAAATCTTAATCACAGATTTGTGTGATAGATATTTGAAAAAAAAAAGAAAAGAAGTAGGCCAAAAATCTCCCTACTGAAACTTTCCAAGGCCGTAGAACGTGAGGTAAAAAGAAAAGAGATTAGATAAATATACCGACACATAAAAGAGCAGCATTAGAAGGGCGGTTTTTCCATTAGTATCATTTTTTTGAAAATCAGTACAGTAGTTTTTGAGAACTGAAAATTGTGCGAAAAGTGCAAACATTTTCTAAAGCGTCGCAAAAAAAAGTGAAACAACAAATCCCTTACATTTTCATAATACATGTTTTTTATTCAAACAGGACAAAACATTAGTGCCAAAAACAAAGCAGCAACACATGCCTATAAATTTTTTCGGCTTAAATAAACTGAAAAATGTGTAAATTTAAAATATAGCTAAACAGCAACCAAATGAGCACTTTTATTAGCGACTTAGAGAAGAACAATTCTTCGTAACAAAACAATAAGCTTCGCATGTGTGAACACAGAGGCGAAGCTGTGATTCGCAGGAACTAGTGAGAACACGACAAAAACAACTCTATAGGAAATAAGAAAAAAGTAGAAATAAGCCTGGAATTTAGAAAAAAAAAATCTGCCACGCGACGGATTCAAACCTGGTACCTAGAGATAAAGCCGTAACCTCTCATCCACGAACGCTTAACAATCGGCAAAAACTAGAATGCTATGAAATTTCTAACGCCACATCGTGGTTATAGAAAAAGGCCACCAAATGAGCATTTTATTTGCGAGTTAGGTTGGAAAAAAGAAGGTTCATACTAATACATTACCGCCGATAGTGTACAAACGTCACACTTTGGAAATCGCTCAACTAATTTAAAAACTTGACTGCAATAAGGGTTAAGTATTTAGACTTTTTTCAATATTTTCGAAATCAATGCTCGTTTTGCATCCATTGTTTAGCTCCAATTCACTGTTTTCACCAGCGGGGAAGAAGTATTCTTAATATAACACTGCGTCTGCTTGTGTAATAACCAATTCAGTATATAGTTCGATCTAACATCTTTTTGGTCTCACTTACCGGATGGGCTCCCGCACACATGTTCTGAAGAGTACCGGCGGCAGCTTCCAGAGTATCTGGATTGGATGATTCGCGCAAAAGAGCTATGCAGAGATTGGCCATCATCGGCTGCCACAATAACTCAACTCCCCTCGCATAAGGATCACTTGAGAGGACATCTTGCTGTCTATACTGGTCATCTCGTCCACCAGCAGACCTAAAATCATTGCTTAATTATAGGTTAGCTGTGGTGAGGCGGCTAAGGTCTCTGCATCTCAATAGAAAGGTAGGAGGTTCGAGGCGCACCAAGATCCCTGCTCACTAAGGGTGAGGCAACATTACCCAGCCCAAAAAATTAACCAAAATGCATGTAATTCTTAATCGGGGGCACCAGAGTGGTTCACCGTAAAGAGCTGAACAGCTCTTATGATAGTTCTTTGACTCGTGGATAAATCGTCTTAATAATTATCGACCAATATCGTGTTTAGAAGACGAGTTGATATTAAGCCGATCCAAGAACTTGTGGAAACGCAATTTCTCAAAATTATTTTACAGCAAAATTTATCCGAACTCAAATCTAGTTTTGACCATTTTGTCGAACCAACAATTGTTTCTTCTCAATGTGCGTTCTTACTTGGGTTTGTTCTTTTTCGGTCCACACCCTGGACCCACTTTGTCTGATCTGGCTGAGTTCCGGGAGACAGACCTCGAGTTCCGTGAGCGATGGTCGCCCATATCATGTGCACTCTCCAGTCTCGGATCTCCCGCCCTCTCCAACTCGGCCGCCAAATGGAAGGTAAGATTACGAATGATGCAGATGCAGTTCTCCACTGCCTAAACAACACCAACAACTATGAGATTAAGTTTCTCACAAGTAAGCTTAATAAAAACTCATTATTTCCCTGGCCATATTGAGCGTCCAAATGTAAGTGGTGATCTAATATCTATCAAACATTAAGGGAACATTTGCATTTTAGTCAGATCATAGCAATAGAATTAATTGATTACTAAGGTTGGTGTGTGCAAATAGGCTGAGCTTAATTATTTAACTGACCCTTCCGCTGACTTCGTTCTTCAGAATGGCCAGATTGAGAACGTGTATGAGAGCGTCTATCAAATGTCTCGTCTGTCGCAGAGTCTGTCGGTAGTCCAATCTGTCCGCGCTCAGATTTCTAGCGTGTAAAATAAAGCTTTATGCTCAAAATTTAAACTTAGCCAAAAGGCAGTTGGAAAAGAGTTATTATTACTTTATTGTAATTTTTACTTTTTTAATTTATTATTTCATCATTTTTTATTTTTTATTATTTTATTAACTTTAGTATGATTTCTTTATTAAATTTTTTTAATAATTTATAATTAATTAATTTAACTGGTTCAATGGAAAAACCAACATTTCAGAAACTTCAACTAATTGTCTCTTCATTTATATTATTTAGCATTTTGACCAGGGGCGGATCTAGGACTTTCTCGAGGGGCGGAGAGGGCCTGATTTTCAAAAAGTTTTGTCGACCTTCTTTTTAGGTCGACCAAATTGATTTTTCCAGCTCTACCGAAGCACTAAAAAGGCCCCTGTTTTGGCCAAACTTTCTGCGCCGCAGCCAAAATTTTATAAAACCATGCCAAAATGCGTTTTGAGGCACTTTTTGGAAAATTTTGACCAAAAAATCGCGTTTTTTCGGCGCGCGTTCCCCCCTCAAAATTAGTATATATTGGCGCCAAAGGCGCCCTAAGAAATTTTAAGGGTCCGTCACCCAAAATGGATATCTCAAAAAGTCGAATCCCTGAGAGGGGGCGTCCTCACCCTAAATCCGCCCCTGATTTTGACTTCATCTTAGTGCAAAAATTGATATGAAAACATTTTGAAAAAACCTGATTAGACCAAACATTCAGGAATAGAACCTTTCAAGCATAATTGTCATTATTTTTGTTGCTATAACCAAATATGATTTCAGATTACTACTTGCTCTAACACTCTTAATTGTATAACAGGTAGACTGTCTGTCGGTAGGCACATTTTGTGCCTTTCATCGATCTCCACAAATTTCCTTTGATTTTATTATATTTTTGTTGTTAAATTTAGGGATTATGATAATGTTCATATCAACATGATTCCGAAAAAACAAATTGTTTTCTTTTTTTTCTAGATAACATACCTGAGACATCCTGTCGCATTTCTGAAAAGCATGCTCCACTCGGGTGGCATAAGAGGCCCCTGGGGACTGGAGGGCTTCGAGGGGGGCAGGGAGGCAGTATCCGATCCCAAGTAGGTGTTGTGGTCTCGCTCGTACTCGAGCCAAGCGGACTCAGGAACCACTGCAGTGTCTACTATCACTTTCAAGGCATGCTCGATTATTTCTGGTTTCACGTCCTGTAACAAACAAGATCTCCTCAGAGAACTCATCGATATCGCCAACTCGAGGGGGTCGAGAGTAGATCGTGATTGCTCTTCGCAATGGCATCAAAATTCAAACTTTTGACAAGAATAGCCGGTTGCTGCGCAAGTAGCACAGATGTTTTAACCATGTTCATACAAAATACGAAAAACTTTTTTTTAGTTTTCTTCAAATTCAGGTAGTTTTTAGTGGGTGGTGTGATTCGAGAGCTATACGACCGCGTAGAGAAATAGTGAATTCGGCATGATCGGCAATGTTTGGTATGGTCGAGAATTAGTGAACTAGGCATGATCGACAAATTTCTTATTTTTTGTACAATCTTTTGTCAAATAAGCGTTGAAAGAAACATCTAGTACTAGCTTTCTTGATAACAATTCAAATTTTGTGCGCCTAAAATTTCTTTTTTTAAAAAAAGTAATTTCCAACGAACGTTACTCGATCGCGTTTTTCGCTCGAAATTGAACTCAAATTTAAAAAAATTTGAAGTTTTTTCTCGGTCTTGGGAGAATTTTTTGGAATTTTTTTCCAATTTTTTTTGCATAAATTTGTTTTAAACTTGAAGTTTTTTATTGCCAAATGGCACTCAAAAACTCCAAAAAACAACTAAGTTTTCACGGCCTAAATTAAGCAAACACAGGCTTTAGTCAGCCTGCTCGCTCGCATAATTTGCTCGATACGGGGACAACTTCGCTCGAATCACGACTGAAAGGAATTGAATACGATATATCATTCGACCTATCCCCATTCTTATTTGTGGTACGTGATTTTGCATGGAAAACAAAAAAACTAAAACACACCCGAATACCAAATCCCCCCCCCCCCCCCCACACACATTTTCAATGCTTGGAACAACTAGGATAGCCGGTTACTGTGTAAGTGGCCCAGAATGTTCCGACCATATAAATAAAACAAAGTTTTTTCAAATTATTGTCTTTTTTTCGGCGTGGTGTGATAAAAGGAGCTGAACAAAAAAACTGAAGATTAGGTTTATTCGTCAGTCATAGTAAAATAAGCAAATTGAAAAACAATTTCTTTTAGAAAAGTTACTTAAAATGGAAGTTTTTTGTTCAAGTTTTGCAGTTTTCTGAATTTTTTGAAAAGTTTGATTCCTAAAAGGCCTAAAATACTCAAAGTAAACTAACGTTACTCAAGTAAAACTAAGTTTTTACGTTTTAAATTAAGCTATTTTAAGCTTTTAAGCAGTTAAAATAAGACTTCTCGCTCGCTTCATTCGCTCAAAATAAGACAAAAAATCAAAAACTTCAAACCGGTTTATCACGTCACGGGGGAAATGTTTTCAATTTTTTTTAATGTGATGTTCGAATCACAAATATAAGGGCTTTAATATGATATATCACTCAACACAGTCCGATGATTATTTGTGGTACCTGATTTTGCGTGGAAAACAAAAAAAACTAAAACAATGGTCGGAGCAAAAACTAAACCCCACTTAAAATGCTAAGTTACTCCCCATTTTTCAAATGGTCGGAACAAAAAAATTAAAACCACCCTAAGACAAAGTTCATTCCCATTTTCAATGATCGGAACAAAAAGCAGCCCGTTGCGAGCACGTAGCTTAAAGCTTTCAAATCAAAATAATCTCTTCTCAAAACAATAATTCAACAAATCTGAAAAAAAAATTGTTCGGCAGAGGCTGATGATTGAAAGTATTTTTCAGGGATGAGTCATCTTAAATTCCGTCCATCTTGCGACCTCATCTTCAAAATTGCCAATTCAGATACGGTCCCAATTGAACCAAATTTATTTCCTATGATTTTCAGTAGAAAGATGAAGTTCAACTAACTGGTTCGGACGAGATGTTCCAGAGAATAGCACAGCAGAGTTCCTGTATTTCTGGGTCAGGTGAGGTGCTGAGCATGCGAGCCAACATGGGGATCAATCTCTGCCTCTGGATTTCCAACTAAAATGTTTAATTAAACTAAACTGTGTCTTCTTGTTTCAAATTCACGAAATCAATTCTGATTCTTTAACAAATTAGCGGTGATATTTGAATATAGAAATTGTCGAAATACTTAAATCGATTAGTTAGACGGCGACGTCTGCGCTAACTTTCCATAATATTTAACAGTAAAAGAGCATTTTGATAAAACTCATCATTATACTAAGAAACATCATGTACAAAAAAAATCACCAGCGTTGAAACCGGGCGTGAATTTGAGGCCCGGGCCTGGTTGGGAAACAAAATTTCGAGCCCGGGCCCATTTATAATGAAAACACAAATTTCAATAAGAAAAAGTAAATTGAAATTCAAATGTGAATTTTTTTTGTTGAAAAAATCAAAAATTAATATACAATTGGCCGCAGCCGATCCTAGTAGTTCGATTTGGCTAAATTTTGCTGCAGAAAGGAGGACACGCTTGGACATGCGGATTTGCTCAGCCTTGATGAAGTCATGCTCCCTCTGGGCGTTTGTAGCTTGAACGGTAAAAGGGGTTCTTTTGAAAAACAGTCCCGGGCCCGACCCGGTTGCTGATCCTAAAAAAGAAGCGCGAGCCCGACCCGGAAAAAGCCCAGGCCCGGTTCCAACTCCGGACAACACACGAAATAACAAAAAATAACGAAGCAAAAACAACATAGACGAACCTTATTTTCAATAGTTCCCTTTCCAAACGACATATTCCGGAGTATTCCCAGGAGGTGTTTCTTCATCTCGGGTTCAGTTGAGTCCAGCATTTTAGTGATGATGTTCACAGCTCTGTTTTCACGGGCCTTTACCTTCATGGCTTGATCTTCGTAGGTTAGATGCTGCAGATAGGCAGCTGCATTAAGCCTTATGCGCGGGTCATCGTGGTCTAGATACTCGAGAATCTCTATCAGATTCGGATTGCGCCAGCGCTGATCTAAATGCCAAATCATCCATTATATAAATGAAGTTGCCAATATCCTATCATAAGCTAGTTGACAAAGCCACTCTTTTACGTAACTGACATTCAAAATGCTTTTTTGACAGTTAAAATGAAGTGAAAGTCCAAACTTCGCCAAACCTCCTCTTTCTGGCAGCAGAAAATTAGAACTAAATCTTGAGATAGATATATAACAACATCAGGTTATTTATTGTAATTTCTCCACCTCAATTTCATAAAGTTTATTACAAATATTTGAAGGAGCCAAAGCGACCAAAATTTGCATCAAGCGAATATCGACTTATCTTACAAAACGATTATCGAAAGAACTAATCTCCAACTTTCTCCAAATAATCGCTCATTAAAGTAATAACAGATAATAAGACTTGGAGAGGACAGACAACGGGATCCTAGGATCCGCCAAGCTCCTGCCCTAAAAGGTCATAAATTAGTATAAAAGCGAGACATAAGCCGACAGACAGTTGGAAAAAAGTAAATGAACGCAAGTAAACAAAAAATTACTGACCTGTTCTTTAAAAAAAACTCATTTCCGAATTTCCAAAAAAATAGATAGCCTTAGAGCTCTTTGACTTTCTCGAACAATTTTTGACACTTTTTTGATGAACATTAACCTAATTAGAGAAGTCGAATATTAGGTAAAAAATTTTATTTCGTTGGAAAATCTGATCAATAAATTTTGAAATTTGAAGTCAATCATTTTTTGTGGTCTCAACATTTTTGCTGTTCGATAGTGTTTTCCTTTTAACAAAGGAAATGAATTGAACTTTAAAAAAATCAAAATTGAAACTACGAAAAAGTAAGTTTGAGCCTTAACAATTAAAACTTTTCCCGGAAAAAATAATCGCGACCTATATAAGTCTGAACTCGATCAAGAAGTAATATTACATTCCACTGGACATTCTTAAATTTAAAGCAAAATTCCAAGCTAGAAGTTTTTTGCACCATTTGCACTTCTGTGCTTGAACGCGTAATTTGCCTTAGACAACTCGCTTGAGTTCACACGCAGTTCAAGAAAAAATCAGTGCGTGAAATTTGTTGTCTGAACAAAACTAGTTAATCTGCCGCGTGCGTTGAATGGCATGAAAAAATTCTTCAAATGCACGCTCGCAAGTGAGCTGTAGAGGTATTTTGAAAACATGTTTCAAAGTGAGAAAACAACTGTTTTAGCACGTGAAAATAAAGTATGAACTGTATCAATTTTTCGTTGAATAACGCATTTTTGCAATTGTTTCTTTTCACGCACTCGGAAAATTAACTCACTATCCTCGGGCCTGGCGGAACTCTGATAGCGAATTAATTCCCTCGTGTGTGAAAAAACAGTTGCCAAACTGTTACTTCTTTTGAGCAAATGATATTGAATTGAACCTAAGTTTTTATACATGAATAAATGCACTCATCAGATCACATATGTATACATGCACTTGTGCGTTGATTAGATCATTCTAAAACCAATTCCTGAAAAAGAATCAACAGGACATATGTAAGTTGAAAAACTATAAAAACTGATTTTTCAACTATCAAGTTTCACAAAAAAACGTACTCCACTTTAGAGCTTTCTAAATTTCAAGAAACTTTTTTGGGACAGCATAATTTTCTTTTTTTTTTGCAAATCAATGCGAACGTTAACTTCAAAAGACATTCAATAATTCGAAAACTTTTCACTTACAAGACACGACCAAAATAAGCAAACTTTGACTTCATTTGTTACCACATAATGCTAACATGGACCTTCGCTCCCTTTTTGCTAAAAAAAAACAGTTAGAAATGGACGAAATCATACCTCTTTTATGAGCGTTCTCTCCTATATCAAATATCATGGGTGTTCCAGTAGCAGATACAGCCGGGTGCGGATACTGAGTTCTGCTGTGTACACTAGGCGAGTGTTGTCCCATCGACTCCGGCGGACTCATTGAGTTGATGTATTGGGCGTGAGGGGAAGTTGCGTCAATCATTAGGGTTGCTGGGTGATGCGGGTGGTGAGTGGCCGAGTACGGGTGAGTCTGTACTTGCATGTTGCTGGCACTCGATGGCACGCGAAGTCCACTTTCGTTCAGATTATGTTGACTTCCCAGGGGTTGACGTTTGTTTCCACTGTTAGATATGTTGTTGCGCGAGTAAGATGAAACTGATCCTTGAATTGAATCCGAATCAGTAGGTTGATGAAATGGTTGTCCGAATTGATCTAAGCCTGTGTTTCCTGGAGTTCTCGGGACGGCGGGTGCTCGTGGATCTACAAAACCAAACGAATCCATATAGTTTAAAGCGATTGGTTGTAATAAATTATTGAATGAATCGTAATCGGGGCAAGACATTTTACTATTTTTGACGTGTTTTATAGTCGGTGAATCCGCTATGTAATACACTTGTTCAGGATCTGTATCCATTCAATCATATTCCTAGGATCAGAGAGAGTTCGAAATCAACTTATACTAGTCTCAGACTATTAACAGCGGATAAATATACAACGCTAAGAGTAAATATAACAGGTAACAGAAGGCGACAAACTGAACGATTTATATCAACTTATTTCGAAACACCTGGTAAGCACTTAATACTCTGACCGATTTAACAGCTCGGGTTGTTCATTGAACTTTGCATTGATATGAACTGCTTTTAAAAACTAAACTGAAGCATTGCATGCATGCCAGCTACAATTTACACCAGTGCGAAGTAGACCCCGTAAAGCTAGACGGACACAATTTCCGAAACCTGGTTTCCTTGAACATTTTCCCAATTTATACAGCATAGAAGATTTATTTTGAAGGCATCAACTTCGAGCAAGGGAAGATAAACGAGATTATCGCAGTATTTTCAAGCCTCCAAGTAATAAGAAAAAACTAAAAACTATTCAATTTTCGACAAAGGCAGCACAACATTTTATTTTCACTATTGTCTTGATAGACAAATATGAAGGCACATATTGTATGTTTCCTTCTGGAGACTAACTTTATCATAGCGATGCAAACGTCAGCAACAATTGGAACTCATAGACAAAAAAACGAAGTCAATGAACAACATTCCTAATGTAATCTTTGATGACGTCTTGAAAGCTGACACAGGACCGAAATCTTTTGCAAGGCTCTGCAAATAGTTGAGACCAAATTTGACAAGAAGCTGAAAAAACCTATTTGACAATGTAAAACTGCGTAGTTTTAGGCAAAAAAGCTTGTTTTCTGAGAATGCAACTAAGAATTTTCGACAATACCTCATTATAATTTGCACACTCCTGCTTTTGTCTAAGGTAGTACAAAAAGCTCAAAAATAGGCAAGCTAGGCAAAAATAGGCAAAAATGGAAAGCCTTTTGGACAAAGAAATAAAACAAGTAGAGCCGGTTACTGTACAATAAGCACAGAATGTTCCAACCAGTCTTAAAAAATACATCAAAAACAATTTTCAAATCAGTATCGTTTTTTCTGCATGGTGTGATAGGATCTGAGTTAAGGCATAATCAACATTCATAAAAAAGAAGCAAACTGAGCAACAATTTTTGTAGAAAAATGAGCAGAAAAACCAAAAATCATTTTTTGCTTTTTAAAAGTTTTTTCACTCCAAAATGGCGCTAAATTTATTTTACTCGCGTAAAACTAAGTTGCCACGGCTTAAATTTAGCAGTTGTAAGTTAAGAAACACAAAGGCGAAGCTTCGCAAAAACTAGCGAAAACACTATAAAAAAGTAGCTCTATAAAGTGCTATAAGAAAAAGTAGAAATAAGCTTCGAATTAGCAGACAATTCAGGTACGTCTCAGATTCGAACCTGCGACCTAGAGATTAAGAGTCTCACACCCAGCCACAGCAGCTTAACTGTTAATAGTCAAACACTAGTCATAAATACAGCAGAGAACAGATGCCAAATAACATACCTCAATTTATAGAGCGGACGCATTTTAAATAGTATACGAAAAAGTTCATTAAGAACATCCGACCCTGACCAGGTTCGAACCCTCGGAATTTGTAGCGGGTCTCCTTCCCTAACTCTACGCTACAGATCCATGATAACTTGAAGCTAAAATGCTATTTGTAATTTAATAGTCTGTGTTGATATCCTTAGCATTGGCTGTACTTATTGGCTGGTTACTGATCAAAATGAACAATTTCAAAACGAACACATTTTTCGCAACAATAATTGCGACTTAGGTTGTAAAAAAAGATAGTTCATACATATAGTATGATACTATAAGATAGTTCATACTTTAAAAAATACTAATTTAAAATCATCTGATGTTTTTCCAAATTGAGTAGGTTTTTGTGCATAGCGTGATGAAAGCAACTGAACGACAGCCCAAGACCTCAACATATTCGAGAGTCATTGCAAAATAGGCAAAGAGTAGACTGACTGTTGCTTTGCCAGAAGCACAGAAAGTTCACACCATATTAAAAAGAAGAAATTAAAATCAAATATATTTTTTCAAATTTGTGAGATTATCTGCGCAAGCTTTGATGAGAGAAAAGCGAAAGCTTATAACATAAGTAAATTAATTATAGCCGACAACTGTTTTCTTCTTGAATTTTTTTCGTCGGTTTTGAATTTTTAGTGCCAAGGAAGCTCTAAGTGAAGCTTCAAAAATTAGTATTCACTAGATCGAAAACACGTGCTGCCTGGCCATTAAGCCAATAATACCGAAAAGCATGGTTGAGCAGAACGGTTTTGGATCAAAAACTCTTGGTCTATCATGAAATTCAAATGTTCGATAAGCCTTAGGTAATTTATATCCCCACTAAACTCTTTAGTTGTCAAGACGAAATCAACAAGGCCACCAAGTGAAACAATAAGTCACGTGCGAGAAAACGGCAAAATAATAAGTTGAAAACAAAAAAGTTGTTGTCATAAAAAAACCTTTTGAGCAATTAAGTTTTAAAAATTTGAAATTGAAATAGAAACTGTCTGAATTTGTCAAAATCAATTTTCCTTTGACGACACAAATTAGATGACTACACCGAAACAATTTAGGCCAATTAAAAATTTCGAGTTGAAAAAACGAAACATGCAACCCAAGGAAAATTTACATGTGGCAATTATCCGACAAAACATAAGCAGACAAACGAAGTCCGACAATTCAATTTTTCCCGGATAAAAATTCTAGTAAATACACAATGGAAAAAAAACAAAAATTGGCCGGGACTCGAACACCAGACCTTAGGGTACAAAGTTATCAACAAACATAAGACCAAACGGGAAGAAAAGGTCTCGAAGTTGCAATGGCTCTTTAATAAAGCAACTTCATAATTTCTTGAAGAAAGAAAAGTTAGAAGTGCAAAAAATATTGCTTAACAATTAAAACGGAAAAGCAAAGATAAGCTTCCAAAAACTTGCGATACAATTAAAACATCCCAGTACGAGATATTAAAAAGAAAAAATATTGAAGTCTTTTTTCAAAAAACTAAGCTAAAAAAATAACACGAAAAAAGTCCAAAAACATTACATACAAAAATTTCATACTATTTCCTCCGACGAAGATCATGAACAGTCCTAACAAGCATTGATAATGAATGATCGAGCGGCAACTAAGGTGAAAAAACTTAGGTCAACCCTCGTTAAGCCGAAAACGAATTTGTAGACATAAAAGATAACCAAGCTAACAAAACTTTTAGGTAAAAATTTTACGGCCAATCCTTTCTGAAACAAGCAAAAGCAATTAAAAAATCGCTCATGATATTGCTCAAAATAAGTTGACTAGCGATACAATTAAACCATTGCATTACAAGATATTGAATACAAAAAAGAAGTTCTTCAAAAAATTAAACTTAAAAAAAGCACTAAAGAAGTCCAAAAAACTAGAAGTTTGTCATAACTTTCATAACGTTCATAACTTTGTCTCAGATGTTGTTCATAAACAGCCTCAACAAGCATTGAGAATCAATGGCCCAGTGGCAAGAAAGGCAAAAACTTGGGTCGACCCTCGCTAAGCCGAAAACGCGAAACTAGACAAAGATTTTTTCATCACTTTTCTGGTGTGACAACATCAATCGAACTTTGAAAAACGACGCGTGGTAAATTAAATTTGAAAGAATCTTGAAAACAGTGGTAGGCTTATCTCAGTTTTTATATATAAATAATGGGATGTGGCTCCTCTCCATCAAAGTTGGATTTTGCGAGGATTCTTGAATCATTAGAAACACTAAGTTAGATTTTACTTACACGGATCACAAGATGGATAAAATCTGTTTCACTGAGTCGACAAACGAGTAAGAAAGGTTTTTGGACAACTAATTCACAAAAACTGTAACTCGTACTATTAAACAAATCTGCAATTTTTACGACCGTGAGGATAAAAAGTGACAATAACTGCAGAATAATAACTATTCTATATGCAATTGTCTGTTTATAAACAATTGACTCAAAGATCCAAATCTCAACTACCTGCACAGAACTATAGAAACTACCCGACGAGTTGCCAGTAAATGTCAAAACTTAACTCCGATTTATACCGCGATTTTGCAACGCCAGTGTCGTTTGATCAAATGGCAATAAGAACATAAAGAGAAAACTACGGCTGCATAAAATTGCCTGCAACTTCAATGTAGGTGACAATATCATATACAAGTTACCAACCATGTGAATGAAAATTGTCCCAGAATAAACGCTAACTGTAAACTTATTGAAGGCTTAAACAATGTGCTTGGAAAATACAAAAAGGGTTGTTAGAAGCCCGTTTACACAAAGATAACAGCCAGTGATTTCCGGCAACTGTGGTTCCTTTGGAATCGAAATCAACACTACGGTTTAAGCTAGCTAAAGCCATGATTTTCCAATTCAGACATAGCTATCGCAATCAAGGAATACTTTCTTCTTCATTTCTGGACGTGAAATCAAATTACCTCTCGAACGTTAGAGGAAAACTCAATGTCCGAATCATTTTCATGTTGCAAACAAATGAAAAGACAAATGTAATTTTCCGACTACCCACACCCTTCCCCCACCCCGCGCAAAAAAACAGGCCAAAAATGAAGTTTCTGAGCACTTTTGACGCGCGGTTTTTTGGCAGGCGGGCTCCCCCATAAAAATTGCAATTTGGCGCCAAAGGTGCCTTCTGAACAAACTTGAGCTTGGTCAAATAAAAATGGGTGTAGTAAAATAATACAAGTAGGGGAACCCTTCGGAAAAATTTGGAAACAAGAATTGAACGAGGCGTTCGCATAACACAAAACTTATGCAATACTAATGTAAACAATCTAACCATAAGAAGCATAGCTATTCTGCTGTTGTCTCGGGGTAATCTGTCCTTCGGATTCCGAATCACGACCAGCCGATCCCATCTCCCCCCTCCTCGGAGTTCGCATAGCGTCCCTTGCCATCTGGGGCGGCTGTCCGTTAGTGTACACGTGGTCTGGAGTGGAGTCCCACTGTTGCTCTTCGCCTTGTCTGGAAGCCCTTAGTTGGTTTCCGCGCCCTAGTGATGTCGGGGGACTGAACTGTATCGCTGAAAGAGGGAACACCTCTTGTAAATTTATAGTTAGAGCCAAGAAGAACTTCTTATCAGGAGACTAAAAAACGATAGGTACAATATAGACGAACAGTTAATACGAGCTCACTTTCAGTAAAAAGTTTTTCTTTCGTAAAAGCTAAAATGTAATTTCTATAGCGGCAAATATGTAAAAACCGACAATATAACTAGAAAGCACAGACCAGCTAAGACAATGAACACAGCGCGAACAGACAAGGTGGAATCTATTGTAATAACGGCGGAATCTATAGGTGATATTTGCATCCACCTGAATAGAGTAAAGTGCAACTCATCAGCATTGTTTATATAATCACCCAAATATTTGGAAATTCAAATTATAAGGAAGAAAACTTGAAACGATCAAGCATTTGCTTCTATGACAGAGGAAATATCTCGACCTCCATTAAACCCGGAAAAAATTGAAACGGAAGGAGAAAAAGCCTTTTTCTTGATTTTTTGATTTCCGGTTTCCTTAATAGAAAAAAAAATAGATTGACAGTTTAATACTCAAAAGTATATATTTGAGGGACGCTTCCTTCAAGTTACCTAGTTTTGAATTAAAGGAAATACGGCCGAATCTATCGACAAAAGTGACTGTTTTGGACACGAATAAGGCAGTACTACCCGTCCGTTAGCTAGATCCGGAAAAAACTGCTCGAAAAAATGAACTTTTTGAGGGACTATTGTTTTTGCGACCAACAACTATACAAAATTCAATGAACTCACATGGCGACTGTTCGGGAAACCCAATAGCATCTTCGTCGTTGAAGTATTTCTGCTCCCCCTCTCCGCCTCTTCCGGAATCAAATTCATCCCTTCCACTGTACCTGCTTCCACCGTTGAAATTTCCGCCGGCATAAACAGCAGGCAGTTGTGGTCTATCCGGGGGCATGTTGGGGTGATACACATTTTCGGAATAGGAGTTCGAAACATTTCCAGAAAATCTCCTATCAGACGGAGGACGTGAAACCCTGAAATCAAGAATTTTCTTTTCATTACTTTTATTGATAAAAAAGGAAATAAATTTACGTTGGAATAACAATTTTCGGCAAAATGAAAAATCATTCCACTATATTTGCAACTAAAGAATTCAAGAACTCGTTTATCGGTGATATATTATACAATAGGTGCAGGTTCAAATTAAATAGCTGGATCGCTTTTTGTTATACTTCGAACCACCAGCTTGCCCCCCTTTGTACTATTTTGAGATATCCATTTTTGGCTGGCTGACTCTAAAATTTTGGCTGACTGACTGGTAGAACTCAGAAAATCAAATTGGTCGCCCTAAAAAAATTTCAAAAATTTTTTTGAAAATCCGCCTGCCCTCGAGAAAATCCTAGATCCGCCCCTGCCTCGAATAGTATTAATAATTTATTTCAAAACCCAATTTTTTTTTAGCAAAAGAGTAAAATTTTAGTTTTTGACTAAAACTTTATCTGGCAGAGTAATGTATCTACAAAACTATCTTAACAAAATGTACAATTGACTGAAAAAAAACTATATTATGCATTACAGATCTCAAGTTTATTACACGCACTAAACTCAAAATTACCACCTATTGGAACATATCAACCATTTATCTCCAGAAAAAATGTTCTTGGTTTGAATTTGGGTCTTTTTCGTTATACGGCCCAAAAAGGAAAAACCACGCCTCAAAATTTTTATGAACCTAAATAACTGTGACAGTATGACAGAACACAAAACAAATTAAAATTCGTCACTTTTAAATTTCTATTGAGTTTGCGGAAGGCCAAAATCGAGCAATTTCCATCAAAATTTCGGAAAATTGATTCCTGTTTCGAACGTTTTGCCGCTCTCTCCAGATAAATTCACAGAGATACGAATCAATTTGGGTTCTAGCTGTTTCGCATTGGCATTTATTCCTCTTTTTCAAAAAATGTGTTCATTCTTTTTTGCTCTATTTCCAAGCCCTCTCAAAACACTAAAAAGATCCTTTTTTGTGAAAAATTTTCTGCGCCCCAGGCATTTAAAAAAAAACGCAAAAAATGATCCCCCTTGCAAAGATTTCATTTAAAATCAAGTGTATCCCCTCAAATTTAGTGTATGTGAGCCCACAGTTGACGCGTTAGAAAATTTGGTCGACCAAAAACAGATGAAACAGAGCCAAAGGTGACCTTATAGGTTTATGTGGACAAGGACCAAATCTCAGACACCCCTCCCCCTAAATCCGTCCGTTGTAGTAAGGAAAAGTAGAGTTTTAGACTTTGAGAGTTTTCGCTGTTAATTGAGTGCATGTGAAATACTAGCCTCATATTTTGTTCGTTCTCAGGGAGAGATACTGGTTGCTCCAAGTCCTGGTTGATCCCAATGTTAACCCGCTGTTCAGCTGTCACTACTCCAAAGTTATATCGCGGACTGAAACAAAACAACTTTAAGAATTTAGCAAAAAAAAACTGATACAACCTCAAGCTGCCTTCGGCTGCGGATAACTTAGAGGCAAAAACACCGGTTGTGAGCTAGGGCATGGCCGAGAAAGCTATCGAGATTAGGGTATTAGTCTTTGAAACATTTTTGGTTTCCGATTCTGAATTTAAGTGGTTTACCTTGACATTCCCTCATATGATTCGATCACAATTGCAGATTCATTGATACCCATCAATAAACCTTTTCGAACTTTTCAAAAAAAGATACGAGTTGCATCTTCTATCAAAACAATCACGTTCGCTCCTACCAGTATACCAGGTTACACGTAAAACAGCACCTACAACAAATTTTGGTGCATGTATATGTCACAATTTGATTTCATCAAAGTGTCTTTTCTCGACGCAATTCAAGCACCGAAGCTATCGGGACAACCGACTACCCACGAAGCAACAGTCTGATTGCCCTCTTTATTGTTTTACTTCAGGAAGCCTTAGAATGGTTAAACTCCTCTTCTGCTACGGGGGCATCATGCACTAAGGGCCGATCGCTGGAAATTTTTCAACCATTAGCTTACTTTGTTCAAACGACCCCAAATTTACTCTATCTTTATACTTATTTTCGAAAAGTTGAATTCTGAATTATTAACGGCTAGCATTATTTTCGGACAATGAGTGCTTCGGGCAAGAGGACTTACCGGCTCTTCTTCCATAAGAAAATTAGCATGTTACCGATGTGAAAGGTACAGAACGCGAACTAACCCGCGCGGACTGTTTCTCCTGCTCGATTTTGGAGTAGCTTCTGTACTGTGGCTGCTGCTTACACCTCGGCTACGATTGCCCTCACTACCTCTCCTGTGGTTATTCACATCCGGCGTGGACTGATTCTGGTTCACTTCCTGCAGCACCTGGCAAAGTGTTCAATGAAAAGTCTCCATTTTTCACTCAGTAATCACTGAGTAATAATTACATGCAATTTATCCATGTTTCCGATTTTTCTTTAGTATTCTGAGTAAAACTAGCTCAACTTAAATCTTTCTTACTTAGAAATCATATTAAATTGAACACGTCTTTTACCTGTTTATTCTGATTATGATCCAGTGAGTTGATATGTGGCAAGCTAATTGACTGTTGCGTAGGCTGCTGTTGCTGTGATATGTATTTTGGATGTAGGTTCAAGATATGTGAGGAGTTAATGGCTGGCACAGCAGTCGAGGATCTGCTCTCTGTGTCCGAGTAGTCGTCTACTTTCACGTGTGGTCTGTACTGGAAATTTGGATTGGGGGTGGGGCTCAATGTCAGACTGTTAGTTCTACTGCCTAGGTCAGACTCACTGAAACAACAGCAAAAATAAGTTTCTTCCAAATTATTTTAAGATTGTGGCGGGACTGTTAATGGAGAAATAGGAAAGTTCAGACCAGTTGAAAAAGAACATTCATTGTTTCCATAGAACAATATATATAGAGAGTACATAAGTATATGTATCAGATTTCTTCAACTGCTCGATTCTTTTTTATATTGATCGAAAATTTTTGATTCTAATCAAGAAAGTTATTTTCAATATAACTAATAGTTTTAAATTAAAGTTTCAATTCCAGAAAACAGCAAACAGATCATGTAACCGAGAAAAATTAAAATTAGGGATGAGATTACATTCATTGAGTGACTGATTAGTATCTTTTCCAATTAACCTAATGCTTCTGAGAGAAGCTGTCTCAGAACCCAGCTCCACCTAAAAGTATACAAAACATAGATGTCTTCCATTCGCTTTCATTCCTACAATAATTCTGTAATACTCATAGTTTTTTTGAACACCATCGTCATCAAATAAATTGAGAAAAACATCTTGAAAACCAATATCAAAAGTCAAACTATCGTCGTCAACTGAACCAAAAATCAGGTTTCTATTACCTCACAAACGGCGTCATGCCCTATGGAATAACGAAAGAGTTTATGATGATAAGCCAACTTTGTTACCTGTTCCAACTGCTCAGCTAGAGTCTTTCTTTCTTCTTCCAGTTGTTTACTCAGTTGCGCATATTTCAGCTCCTAAAAAACACGCAAAAACAAACAGTTAAGCTAAGGGAAAAACTTAAAAATCACAAAGGCAAAAAGTGACTGGAAAATGTGCGCACGGAGGCAAAGCAGAGACTATCACCACTTGCAGATGAACCAACCAAATTGTTTAAAAAAACTTCACAAAAAGTGTTTATTGTTTCAAAAAATTCCAAAAAAGCAAAATCTTGGAACTGACTTACGCACAATTTAAGAAATTTCACGAACAGAGGCACAGCGAAGCTTCGCACAACTTCGAATACAACACATACATAGCATGACAAACTAATCGACCAAAATCAAGATCAAAGACGCAGAAAGCATTTTTTTATCTACCAAAAAATTTTCAACATTAGTCTTGATTTTTTCTTGAAAATCTTCAAGACAATATGCCAAGAAGTAAAACAGTCGATATTAAAATTGCATCAAGTTAAAACTTACAAAGCCGTAGAAAAACGACAATTCTTGAGCAGACACAAGTTGCGCCGTAAAAAAAAATTGTTATAATTATGGTTTCTGCGATTCGCAGAGGATCTATGAAAGGCTATCCAGCCTGTCTAAGCATAGTCCGTTTCTCTTATTTCCCCATTCCAGGCTGAGTTTTTGTGTTGAGCGAGTCTCTTTTTTTTGCGACTCAAGGCCGTTTTTTGCGTCTAGAACTTTCAAGTGGTACCACTATTGCAGCCGTAATCGGTCAGGCCGTGGTAGACCTGAAGCTAGAGGTCAAGTGAGAGCTCGTCCTCACACACTAATCTTGACATGACATGGCAGGTCTCTAAGCCAATTCATTACCCAAAACCCAAAAGCTTTTCAGCCGAATAAAGAGGACAAAACAAATTAAATGAAAAAATAAACAGACATATTAGAAGCGGATTTGGTCAGTTTTCAACTAACATAAAAATGAACAAGCGCGTAACGCACCTACGGTGCTTCGAACAGAATAATGTATGTAAAAACTGCTTATATATAAAACCGAAAGAAATGCAACCAAAGCAATAGACGGGAGCATCCAACAAAGCTTTTAAACCTTAAATGTTCTTTTTAAATTGAAGCGGCCAAATCTCCAAAACCCCTGGGTTTCAGATCTTCGTAATTGGAACAAAACAAAACCCGTAAATGGCCACAGCATACAAGTGCACTTCCTATTTTCAACTATTTCGTTGACAAAATCACTGAATTCATGAATGAGACTATTGTTTAACTTAGTTGTTTCCTTTCATTAGCCCGCCTTGCGTATATCATTTGCTGCCATCAAAGGATACATATAGCGTAAATAATTTGAAAACCTCTCACTTTTTTCTTAGTTTGATTTGTAGTTGAATAAAAAATTATGAAAAAACGTCATTTGTCAAAACAAACAATTTGCGTTATAATATCAGAATGACGGCCACACCTGCAAGAACTAGAATAAACCTGACTTCACTCCAACAATGCGTCGGAAATTTCGAATTTTGAAAAATACTAATTTTCAATTACGAAGTTTTTTGAAAACTCATAAAATCGACAAATCCAGGAAAGTGAAATGCGTTGAGCAGTCGTCTTTGGAGTCCAGATTTAAAATTCCTGAGAGTATCTGACAGCACCCCACCAAAGTGCTGAGAAAATTTTCAAGACAAATGTATGATTGACACTTTTTTTGATAATATTAACCCAATTTGAGAAAACTGGATCAATCAGTAAACTTTCTTAAAATTAAAATTTCGCTGGGAAAGCTGATAATTACATTCAATTTTCGAAACTTCACAATTTCGCTGTTTGATATTGGGAATTGCCTCGTAAAATAGACGAATAAATATAACTTAAATAGAAATCAAAAATTAAACCGCCAAAAAGTAAATTTGAGCATGAACAAATTATTAGACTTTTCCTGAAAAAAAAGGAAAAAAATTATCGCGAACTGCCAAAGAATCTGAACTATATTCTTCGACTCTTAAAAATGGCATGTCTCGGAAGCTAAGATGATTTGAGCAGTCAAACTTGGAGGAAAGAATTGCAACCTGAGAGTACCCTCAGAATAGCCTTATTACAGGGTTGGGAGTTAAAGATCTAGTAAAGCTGTCTCTTTAATCAATTTTTTTAACTATTGAAAATGTCTCGGAAAACGTCTCTAAAATGATTTCAGCACTTAAAATCGGAAACAAAATTAATTATATAAACCCCCAGAGACTACCCTGGTAGCAACAACAGATTGGGAATCACAAATTCTTTGACTGTTCAAATCTAAGTTTTCTACAAAATTGAAGAAAAAAAACGTTAAAAACGTCATACCCCGAAAACAACAAGGATTTGCGCAGTCATAGTTGGAGACAAGATTCGCAGTCCCTAAGCCTACCCTGGCAATACCAAACTACAAAATAGAAACCCAACTACAAAATAGAATGAAGATATTAATTTCCTGTAAACTTTTGAAAAAAAACACAAAAATTGTCGTATCTGGTCGTAAAAAAACTGAAAACTAAGCGCTAAAACACCCCACTATTAGATTGCTAATTTAAAACTTGTTGAAAAGACACTGAAGTCAAACAACAAAATCGAAAAAAATGTTAACCATAGCAATATACGATATAGCTTAAACGTGAAAGAATTCTTTGGTAAAACATGCAAAAATGTTACGTTGAAAAAGCTTAACTATGGAAGATAGTGAAGCCCGCATTTACATAGATAACAGATAGATAGATTTCGAATAGATTGTGCATTTAAAATTTATGTATGTTCAAAAACTTTCTGTTCGTTGACGAAAGTACAGGTGGCCATTACCAATTTGGTCATCTAGAGAACCAAATTGTTAACGGGAAAAAGATTCTAGTTCCCGGTTGCAATAGTCTTGCTTATCGCATCACTTAAACACGGATAGTATTTCGCATCAGACGCGAACTTATAGACAATGAGCTGAAACATAAAAAGATCTTTTGAAAACTAGACAGATTCACCGACACTTCAAACCGAGAACAACCAAGTCGGAAATCCTAATTTTTAGACTCAATTAGAATAAGGAATAACGTTTCATATCGAAATAGTTCAAATGAACATTGCATTTGAGGTTTTTGCAGCCAGATTTTAGTTCCTCATCCCCCGCTACCTCATACGCACAACAAATACTACGAAAGATTTGAAAAGATTCTTCTGATGAGATGAGATAACATTTTTATTGTTCCACGCAAAATCAAAGTCTAAAAAACCGCCCTTACAGCTTAATTTTGAGAAAACTAAGCGAGATAGTTAAACTAAAAAATATTTAGTTTTTTTGTGGAAACAAGCTCAAAAAGATTAGTTTAACGCTTACACCTTACTAAGAGCTGCTAAAATTCTCAACAAGAATCTGACCCAGAAAGTAGTGTTTAGTTTTTCTTGACTTCGCAGCGAGAACAAAAGATTAAAAGTTTCGTGAGAAAAAAACTACTTACAATTTTTGAAAAATCAAAGTTGTTACAAAAATAACTGCTGATAGCACAACAACATTTGATTCGGGTAAAATGTTTTTCCAGCCAAATTTGACTACTTCAAGGAAAGCTCGTAGTGGGTCAAGTGTGTAATCATATTAAAAAATTGGATTCTCAAAAACTTTCAAAAAATTTTCTGTTGAGAAAAACTGGTATGCATTTCTCGTTTACAGACTAAGTTACACGAAATTCGACGAGAGACCTGCCAATTGTAACCTGAATTTGCTTAAACTTAGCAATATTTCTTGCATTATATCTTAATTTAATTGCCGTTTCTAAAAAAAATAAAACAGAGGCTAAGCTGAGCTTCGCATCACTTGCGATACAAATGAAGAAAGCCGCTAAGTCGGGAAAAATCAAAGGTGTCGGCATAACTAGACCGATCAAAAAAATAAGACTAGTTTTGAAACATAAAAATGCACCGACAATAGAATAAGAAATTAGCATCGAAAAAAACTTGTCAAGGTTACAAAGCCGGAAAAACCTCAGCAGAAACCCTTTAAGCCGAAAAAAAATAAACAAGACTTAAGCCTTATAAAAAGTCCCCTTCCTCCTCAAAACTTATAAGCTCCCCTCCTCCTCAAAAACACACACAAGCTACTTTTTTTAATTGTCAACTGAAACAAAATAAAGCCACTTAGCCAGTATAATATATGCGAAACCTATTAACCGGAAAAAATGATCAAAGTCGAATAAAATTCTTATAACTTAAGACTAATAAAAATTAATTAAATCCCCCTCGCCCTCAAAACACAGACACGCACACACAGACTTTTTCGCTCGTCCTCGAAAGACGCAATATGAGGCCATTAAGCCGATGTACCATTCACCGAAACCAATCAAGCCGAAGAAAAAAGAAAAAAATGATTAAGCTGAAAAAAATTGTTCATGAAAAAATTGAACTATAATTTTTATTAAATTTTTTAGCATCTTGTTCGCTCCAGAAATGAGCATTAAAATTATTTTTCCTTTAAAACGACTCAAAAACAGATCACTAAGCCAATAACATAAAAACCGGCCGAAATCATTTGTGGCGGAATAAATGTTTTAAGCAAAAAGTCCGAAGTCAAGGTTAATAAAATTATTAACGGCGGAAATAAATTAGCAAACTTAAAGCAACTACAAGGTTAATTGCGAACAGCTAAACAGAACGTGACAACTAAGCCATAACATAAGCAGATAAACAATCAGCCGACATTTTTGAAACGGAAAAACAACAGGTCCTGTTAGATTCTGATCCAGGATCTTTGCCATCCCAGGCGTATTCGTTACCACAGGCCAAGAACGCCAAGAAATTCGATGAACATTATAAATTGAACTTAAATTTGTCATTTCTATTTTTGACCATTCTGCGATCAAAATTATTTACGCGAAAAAAGTCTAGTACCCGAATGCAATGCCCTTGCTAATTGCAAGAGTAATAATCCAAAAACCTTGGACAAAAAACTGATTAATTAATTTTATGTTTAAGCTTTCTAGATACGTTTTTTGCCATTTTAGATTTTTTTTCGTCTATCAGTTTAATCGAAACATTCTGTGCTTACGCACAGCAACAGACTATACTTGATCTGTGAGCTTTTAGTGGAAGAATTTAAAACTAAGCCAAAACGAATGGATTTTATAGGTTTGAAAAACAAGTATCAGTTAATGATCATCAAATCGATTGTTTCGAGCCCCGTTTTCTTGACACAAGCAAAGAAAAAACATGATGATCAATTCAAGATACGATATATCACCCAACGCCGTACGAAGCTTTCATGAGCGACCTGATTTTTCGCATGAAACCAAATATCATGCAAAAGCGTCCTCAATTTCAATTATGTAACGCGCCTATTTAAAAATATATTCGACAAATTTGAATTGGAATACCAACAAAAAAAAATTTATCGTTTGCATTTTTTAAAACTGAATCCGGGTATGAAGATTTCAGTTTTCAGCATAAGCAATGGGTTTTTCTAGATGCTTGATAATTTTCATGAAGCATTGAAAATCCACTCTTAATGAGCAAGTTTTTCACTTAAATTGCGTCGATTGGCGTGAACGAACGTGTTAATCAGCTATTTGATCAGCTATTCGAACAAGCACACTTAAACGCCATTAGAAACATTTTCTTCGGATAACAGAAACTGGCATTTTCAGCACCAGAATTATCAGGTGAGTCGTTTAAGCCAATTTCTATATGTTCAAAACAAATCCTATCAATTTATTATTCGTAATTAAAAAATTTAGTTTTCGAAAAATTTATTAGTAAAAAATTCCTGTTACACATTCAAATCGATAAGTATGACCACACGTATACAAAACGTTTTCTCACATGTTTTCAATTTAACTTGCTTATCAAATTGATTAAATTAATAAATTATATGCGGTTTCCAAGCCAATAAAGCCTCTCTAGCCAAGGAAACAAAAACACTTCGAGGGCGGGCAGTCTTAACAAGCTACTGCTCAATCTATTAGTTTTGAAGCCAAGCCAATTCTACTTAAGCTTTTATTTCCGCAATTTAAGTTCAAATGACCTCGTTAATACCCAAGTCGCCCTCCTAATTGTCGCTATTTGCCTAGGGTTGTCCTACAACTTTCCCCGTAAATTAAGCAATAAAATCAAGTTACCATCAAATACACCAACCCAGAGATCCTGAAAACTTCCTGTTGAACTTGCTGTATTACTGAATATTTACATAACCAATTTGGCTATTTTAGTTCTACTTTATCAATTTTGAACTCATATACTACGAGCATATCTAATCTTTAATGGTTAGGTTTATCATATTTAACAATAATTACTTTCTTCAAAACTTCTAAGATATCTACTTGGCTTCCAGCATCATTTCTTTTCTTTTAAATTTGGCTCTTTATTTTCAAGCATCTATACAATAGGCCCTTTAAGAACCTTTTAGAATTCAAAAACTTATCGCTTATACTTCTGGCTCCTGGGCATTAAAATACAACTCAAAAGAAGTTTATTGAATTCAATGAAGAACAAAAATTGACTGGTTCTATTTTCAAATTACATACTATAGTTCATGTTCTGCATTCTAATTATAGTCAGTTATACCAAGAAGTCATTTCCGGAAATCATCAATTCTAAGAAACCGGGTCATCGGTTAGACCTTCTGCTCTTGGTTAAATTGCATGAGCCGATAATTCATCACAGGTCACACATTTCAAATATTGACACTCAGTTTTCATTTCATTTCAAAAATCGACTATTTGTGGCAGCAATTTCTCATATAAAGGGAGGGTTATTTTAACTTTTTAAAATCCCATTTCGTTAAAAAAACTGAAAATATTTGAGCCTATCTGTCAGCAAAGAGTTACCGAATTCTTCGATACCTTCGATTGGTTCATTGTTCATTTCCTTACGCTTCGTTTGATTCTTGTTCACGCATTTTTTGCAATTGATTAATGCACTTTGCTAACTTTGCTTAATTTTCTGGAAACTTCAAACACGTTTTTCTCAAGTTGCGTTAAGTTTAGACAAAAAGAAAGAGGACAAAAGTTGCTTGGATTTTACCGAAATTGATATTGTGTAATTTTTTTGTGAGATTCGAGTCCAAAATTTTTGTTCCCTATAAGTGAATTGTTTTTGTTCGATTCGGTTGTTTTCGAATAAAGCAAAAACTACTGGACCAATTTTCAAACCATAACAATTCCGGTTAAATTCAAAGCAACTTTTATCCTTATCAAGTTTTGTCTTAAGTTAAAAAAAGTTAAGAAAAACTGAAAATTTGAAACTTTCAGCTTAGTTCATTTTATCCGGTCAAAAAAATCAGCACACTTTATTGAGTTTGTTCAGCACCAAAAGTAGTTTTGTAAGTGAATTTGAATAATTAAAAAAAAAGGCGTGAACAAAAGCAATCAAGAATAATGCAAAGTATCATAGACTTCGATGACTCTTTGCTGCCTAATGCAAATAGATTTGCATGAATATCTTATATAATAGTGAAATATCAATAATAGTGTTTTTTGATATTATGTGCTAAATTAATTCATCAAAAAACATTGAGCAATTCATATACGTACGTAGCAAGTTAATACTTTGACAGATTGCTACCTTTTTTCGACCCCCCCCCCCCCCTGTGCAAGGAATAACCTTGCAACGAATGAATAACCATGCAACGGATAAGCACAGTTCATAAATGCGACAAAAATACTCAATTGTTATATTTTGTCATCACTCCAGAATCGTCTCAATTTAAAAAAAAATGGACACACCCAGAAGAAGTCAGAAATCGAGAGCAGTTACCCCCGAAGTGACAGCTACTCCTAACAACACCGAGCAGAGTAGAATGCTAGGCAGAGATGCCGAAAGGCAGGGTGATTAACTAATCAGCAGAAAAAATAAATTATCACAATTGCTTCAAAAAGGTGCAGCATCAATGTGTTTCAAAACTAACCCATAACTCCTGCTCTGGGAAGGATTTATAAATATCACTCAGATAATCTTCAGCCATTGTAGTTTAATATTGAAAACTGAATATACCAAATTTTCTCGACACCAAGAAATTTAATACGTTCACAAAGGGGGCGGACGTCTCTTCTGCCGACCCAAAGGGTCCCCCTTTGGTACTATTTCAAACATCCAAATTTGGCTGACCGACACTAAAATTTTTCTACGGCCTTCGGTATCAAATCTGACCCTCCCCTCGAGAAAATCCTATATTCGCCTTGCATTTACAGATTGCCTCACTTGCCGTTTCTTCTGAGTATCCGATGAGGAAAAAAAAGCTTAAAAAAATAACAGTTTCCAATTTTTGATTACAATCAAAACAAGTTGTTTCGTGCATTTTTCTGTTAAAGACTGGAAGAATATAACGAAGATATAACCTTCCTTCTTTAGTCACCCTGCCGCTAGATCTCGATACCTTACCGGTGATACTTCTCGCAGCGAGGGAAGCGCTGTGGAGCGCAAAAAAGAACGCCGATCAGGTTTAGCAGAAGTGATGATGCTATTCTTCTACCTAATATGCGTGGCGATTGTTGCTGTTGTCATTAACTTCGCCGTTCCGGTTCACAAGCGAGGCTTTTCGTGCTCGGACGCTGAGATTATGAAGCCCAATTTGGGAGAACAGACAGTGCCATCTTGGGCTTCGCTTTTGACCGGACTGCTTATAGTGATGTTTTCAGTCTTAGCGACAGATATCATCAACTTTTGCTTGGACAAGGTACAATTTGCACAATCTGTGTTTTGATTATAACTCGAATGCTAAAAAAGGATAGCCGACCGCTTTCTGTGCAGGAAGCACAGAATGTTCCGACCAAAGTTATCTTTGCGAAAAACTAGAACTTTTACAGTATACTGGTATTTTTGAAGGGAATCGTAGAAAACTATAGGAATCGCGAAACTTCAAGGTTAATTGGATCAATTTTTCAGAATTTTAGTCACAATTGAAGGAAAATTCAATGACATACTATCTCGACTAGAATTTGCACGAACACCTCATTTCAACTAGAAGCCTTAGTTCGCACTGTGAGATGGTCAAGGAAAAAAAACATCTCAAAAACTAAAAAAAAACGCATCCATATTTTCAGCCTCCTGATTCAGATAAAAAGAGCGAGGAACAAAAGAAACACGAAAAGAAAATGATGCTTTACTTCATGTTAAAGAACCTCATTGTTGGTGCATGTGTTTATGCCACTACTATGCTCATGGTGGGCATTGGAAAAGTAGTCGTCGGGGAACTAAGACCTGACTTCTTGGAGGTGTGCTTCGGAGGTCAAAAGGTCAGGTTTAAATCAACATTTTCAAACAAAATCAGGCTAAGTCACATTTACGCAAGACTTAAGCAGGGTATTGCTGGCAGAGAACAAAAAAAGAACGCCAGCAAGTTAACAAACTAAACAAACTTCTTTATATATTGGTATACGGAAAAAAACTTTTTCTATTCGATTCTTGTTGCCACAATTAAAATTACAAAAGATTATACCTCCCTGCTGAGAACATCACTTTAAAAACCCTTACTTTGACCTAATTAAAGGTGATATTTTGATCACGCGCCCTCCCAGCACCAAAACCGAAGATCCTCCCTGACCCCGTTACTATTACTATTCCAGGGCTATCTAGACTTCTGCAGAGAGCAATTAAACAAGATGAACGTGAGTGATGTGAGCGGAGTGCCCCTTTACATCCCAGTTGAAGGAGACAAAGATGTGTGCACTACTGCGGACAAGAAAGAAGTAGAAGATGAGAGAAAGAGTTTCCCCTCTGGTCACACTGCATCTGTGTGTGCACCGGCCATGTTTGCACTTATATACATCAACCTAGAGGTACTGGCAACATAGCCAACAGGAAATTGGAAAAGAGCCAATGAATGTCTGGAAACGGAAAAAATATAAATTGACTTTATATAAATAAAGTCAAACAATAAGTATAAAACTGACTTGTTTTTTGAAAAAACTTTCGACGTTCCCAGAAAGTCTTACAGCTCTTTGAATTTAACAATTTATGATTGACATTTTTTGATAAAATTAACCCAGTTTGAGAAACTGGATCAATAGGTACAATTTTTATATGGCTGGAAAATCTGATTTAGAGTAAAGGACGTAGTGAATACTCTTATGGTAGTGTTTTTTTAGGAAAGCCTAAACTTGTTCACGCTCAATTTTTGCTTTTCGCGGTTTGACTTTTTAAGTTCACTTCATTTCCTTTTTTAAAAGGAAGGTAAACTCCCCAATCAAACGGCAAACTGTAAAAATCACGAAAAACGTGATCGACTCCTTTTAATTTCGAAAATGGAATTTCATTATCAGATTACCCAGCGCAATAAAAAGTTTACCTATTGATCCAGTTTTCTCAAATTGATAAAAAAAGGTCAAATATAAATTATCCGTAAAACTCAAAGATTTTAAGGGCATATCTTTAAAATTCGCAAGTTGAAATTTTTACAATAAAAAAGTCAGTTCATTTTCTGTTTCCTGCTCGTTTATTACTCTTTTCCAACTGTCAGTTGGCTAGGTTAGTTAAATTCCATTTTTGAAATTTAAAGTCGATCACGTTTTTGGTGACCTTTACACTTTTCCCGTTCGATAGTTTAGTTTGGCTTCCTTTTAGCATAGAAAATGCACTGAACTTGAATAGAAATCAAAACCGCGAAAAGATTTTTTCAAAATTAAGCGTGAACAAATTTGAATTTTACTAAAAATATAATAAAAAAAATCACCATGATCTATAGATTCTGAAATACTGTAATCGACTCTTAAAAAAGAGCAATCTCCTGATTTTGAGCTATATTTTGTATTTAGCTGACACATTTTTGAAAATTTAGCTTTCGCATGTAAACTTTTTTTGCGAAATAGATCATTTGCTTCTTTTAATCAATTTCATCTTATTTTTTGCGACTCTCTGTTACAACTTAGAAGGACGCGTTCACGGATCACAGTTAAGGAACCTATGCAACCATCTCAACAAAATAACTGACAGCTCCATTTTCTGCAAAAATATTTCACTATCTTGCATAAGTTTCAAAATATTCAAAAACAACCAGGAATATTTATGAATCAATTATTTTCTGAAAAAATCTTTGCTACTACTTACGATTCGATAAATTTCAGTCTTCAAGATTGATTTTTCTCAATTTTCTTTCAGTTAAGAAACACGTTTGTGAGAGTCATGAGTTTCATGTGGCAGTTCTTCGTGATCGCAGTTACATTGTGGATCTCGGTGTCGCGAATAGGAGACAACAAACACCACATGCGAGATGTGGCAACGTCCGCCCTACTATCTCTAGGAGTCGCTATCATATTCTACTTATTCTTACGCTTCCACAACACTTCACGTCCCTCAAAACTCAATTAGAACGATTTAAAATAGAAAGAAAAGGTAAACACTATAAACGCCCTAAGATCTGGAACCCATTTCCGAGACTGAAAAAAACAAGGCCAGCTCAACGGATCGAAACCAAGATGGTAGGTGGAAAATGATGGAAGATTGGCTAATCAGCACCATTTTTCCAAATTACAGATTGAAACGTTAGGCCATTGCACAATTTTTATGACACCATTACATCATTACTTGAAGTTTAGTTCCACTTGATGTGTTTTTTTTTTAATTCGATCCGTTGAAAGAACGTACTCTCCTGGATAAACAAATGTATATACACACTTTCCTTATTGTTAAAATTCTTCAGTGAAATTGAGTTAAAAGCCTCAAATCATTTCAATTCAATATCTAACTATATCATTTTTTCAAGCTTGAGATCTGTAGCATGCAAGTTTGTGATTTTGTTGAACTAGTATGCCAGATAGAATTTAACATGTAAGTTTTTCAATAATAACAATAGATACTTCTGTTTAACAGTTGTAACTAAAAAAAAATCTGTTTGTCTTGAAAAATTTTACCGCCAGCACATTTGACGCTTACGCTACCAAGCTAACTTAAGGCATTCAAAGCAAACTAATGAAATGTTTAAACATGTGATAGTTTTACCATACCACGATGACGAATAGATGAATCGTTACTTTTTTGAAGTGAAGTGCCGCAAAAGAATGACGGCTTTGGCAATAAAAACAAACGCTGAACTATGAAGTAAAACTTTTAGATATCTAAGTTTTTTTTATATATATGTGAGCCTATCTCTTTACAATCTATTCGATTAAATCACTAGTTTCCAAATCGATTGTACTAGCTCTCCCAAATTGTTTAAAAGACCCTTTCGTCCAAAATTTCTGAGCCGCGCCAACTTTCGGTAGATGTGCTAAAGAGTCGTTTTTAAAAGATATTGCCTTAAAAAATTACCACATTCGGGGCGGTCTCACTCTCTAGTAGATTTGCAGCTCCGTGAGCATTAAAAACATTAATTGGCGGGTTGATTGACTTAAAATTGGCGTCATAAAATAGTACCACTGAACTCTATGGGCGCATCAGAGTTTGGATATAAATAACTCGATACGCAAAAATATTGCCTATAATCACAACAATCAATTGCACAATTTTATATGCGGGTAGAAATCACTTAGCTGAAAACAATTCCACGAAAAATTCTGGTAAAGTTTTCTGGACTTGGGAAGTATGAAAAAAACGTTCAATATAATAACAAATTGGTTGAAGTGCAATAAAAATCCACGCGGTAATAGTTCAGCCAAAAAGCAAAAAAATATTCAAAATAAAAAATCCTAGGATGGATATTTCACTTCAAAAAAAACTACTGACGGTGGCCGGGCTTCTAATACTAAATATTGCCACTGCAAGCCTTAATAAGTTAACATTCAAGCAAGCTATCGTACTCAGTAAGAGCTTTCCACTCTGGCCTACAAAATACGAAGCAGTACTGGAGCGCCCTGCGAAGCTATGAATTACCGCAACTTATCTTATAATTCAAAAACTTAATATCCATTGAAAATCGATCAGATTTAAATACTTTCTGGAAACTCGAACGATGGACAGATACAATCTAATTTGGTTGTAGAAGATCTAACGTGTTTCCATGGACGCAAAGATGCAGCGCAGATGATCGGAGCGATCAGACAAATAGAATGTTGTTAACCATCGATTGGGCGAAATGAGACTTTTTTCAGAGAATTCAGCTGCGCATACCACCTTGCACATTAGATCCATTGAAAAAAATGAGCGAATACTCTAGAAACACCAGCAGCTTGAATATTTTACACAGAAGCGGAGCAGAGCTTTGCACTACTTGCGATGAAGCACAAATATAGCATTACGAACTAGCACGCAGAAACTGAGACGAAAATCGAGAAAAATGAAAATGTCGAGAAAAGGGAGATCTACCAAAACTTTCATATCTTACACAAAATTTCTCTTTAAGTTAATTTTTACAGAAAAAGATGCCAAATAAAACAACAGAACGTTAAATTTGCAAGGGAGCGAATCTTTTGAAGCTGTAACAAAGCTAAAAATTTCAAAGCAGACACCCGAGCCAAAAAAATCATAAAAAGCACCCTTTCAAAAGAATCACACGCATCAAGAACTTGTTTCGCTCGTCAAACGGCTAAAATAAAGCCACAAAGCCGATATGCTACATACAGAAAAACTCGTAATACAGAAATAAGCCGAGTAAAAAAAGAAAAATTAAAATTATAACGAACGAAATTTTTAATATGTCCGATCAGTCACAAAACTCTTTATACCGACACTACTTTCAAATACAAACATTTCCAACTCATTAGATGTTTGATCGAGGTATTATTTTAGCCTGGGCCTTATTTTAAAGATTTGATAGGGTTAGCCGGGGCCTTAATTTTTATGCCCTGAATTGTCAGTTAAGACCTCATTTTCCGGTTATATTGAGGTAGGGCTACTTGAGATTTGATCCGTACAGCATGGAACAAGGCATCTCATCTCCAGTTGGTGAACACTTTTTGCAATGTACTGGTGACAGTAGGAACATCACGTCGGAAATTATTGATAAATCTATCGACAATGCTTAGCTTTGGCCCCCTCGAAGCTCTGCATATCAACAGCAGGAAGCCAGTGATAAATAAAAAAGACGAATACCGCTCCATCCGTGTTTAATGTTTTTTTTTGTCTCAACAATCTGATGACTTGAAAATTGTTGTGTTACGTTTCATTTTTACTATTTGTTTTGTTATTTGTTCATAAATATTTTCTTCATCAGGTACATAGGTTTTAAAACCTGAATGTTTGCATATTTCAGTCTGATGAGGATCTATAATTGATCGAAAAGGTTAACATTGATCGTTTCTCTTGAACAAAGCTAGTCCTCGGATACAACGAAACCGGCTTTTAGCGGTAAGCGAAAACTTAAGGTATTTCAAGACTTTTATAGAGGGTTTTTCGACCCAATTTCAAGAGTGATAGAAAATTTTTTAGTGACCTGACCTTAAAGCGGTAACTTTCACTAATCTTAATAGTCCCTGAACCACAATGAGATTGGTGCCACATGTAGCGAAGTGTAAAATCAAGGAACACTTCGCCTTGAGCCAACGACTATAAAACCTTATTTGCCATGGTCGCGCGAGGCATGTCAGCTACTGTCACAAAGAAGCAACTTTACAAAAACTATGCAATGAAATGTGTTACTTAGGCCGCAAAAACTCTTCTCTCATTATTACATAAGTTCTGATTTTCAATAAGAAATAATGAGAGATTCAGACAGATTGTTTTTGGCCAGAGATTCAGTTTGACCAGTAGTTAACCTGAAAAAAGTCTGCTCCTATTTTAGAACCCTTGCTATCACAAGCATAATAAAAAGAAACGATTTGATTTGAATTTTACAATTTTTTCTTCACTTGTTCCAACAATTGACATGCCGACTAATCAGGCCCTGGCAAACAGATTTTGTCTCAATAGTTAACCTTGTAAACCCCTCCGTTACACCATAAAAATAATGCGTATGCTAGGAGAGAAGTATAAAAAGCCTAAACTAATATGCCGAAAGCTGACACAACTACGAAGTTGGACATTTTCTTTATCTTTAATTCTCAAATTCCAGCCTAAACATGAAATAAGAAATAAAATTAAATTCAAAATGCTTACTTGTTGTTTGACAGATGAAATAATATCGTCAGTTCGATTGTCTTCAAATTCGCTTTGCTCTCTTGCTCTTCTGAGTTGGTCCATCAGCTGCTGCTCCGCCGACACCATTTTGATATGTGTTTTAAGGTTTGTTTGTTAGCGATATTCTTCAACGTTAGATTCGAAACATTTCAACTTAAAATTGAAACCGTATTTGATCTCTATTCATACTTCAATCTACCAACTCTCAAAAATTGAAACAAAAAATGTGCTACGCCCGCGGAGACATAAACCTAATTTTGCGTGTGGCGGAGCTGCCGACAAAACGCTAATTTCTGGTCAAAATCTAACAAAAACTCTATGTTTACTAGAGTTTGCCCACTTTTGCAATGAATGCAAATTCGGAATATCAATCTTGCCGGTCAAAAAATCAAACAAACACTTTATTCATTTTAAAAAAAGATTGAAAATGAAGTGTAAGAGAAACATTAAAGAAGGTACGGTGCACAGGGTTTTTAAGAGAACAACGGCATGGGAATTCTATCATTAATTAATGTTGATCAATAGACAGCAATGGCAAGAAAATCATTACCTTGTGGATTGGTCATCCAAAGTTGAGTCGGGAACACTTAACGAAATTTATGGGACAGAGTTTATACCAACTAAGAGGGAAACTAGGGCCACAAATGACAAGCGAGACGAGAAAACCCCACGACGAGCTCATACTTCAATCTCGAGGAAATTAGAGTCAATTCACACGCACAAGATGTGTTTACAAACCGCTCTTCACTCCCTCAAGTTGTATTTTTCGCATGACCAGAATTCCATTGTGGTCTACAAATTTTCTTGCCTTGGATTTAAATCCACCTGTATTGGACAAACTGCTCCATAATGAGAATAAAAGTATGATCACGCACAAATCGGAACACACCAGTAGGCAAACATACGGTGGTGTGGAGACAAAGCGATCATGCGAAGGTGAATTGGGATATAAAAGATAAAGGGCATGGAAACTCCTAGCAAATAAATCTCTCCTCTTAATTGAAGTAGGAATCGGGTATCACTGCGAATATCGTGCAAGTGCTAAGTTGGAAGTAAAAAATTACAAGTTGCGATAATTCTTTTTTTCTCTATATAAAACAATTAACGGTAGTTATAAAAGTTTAAAGAAATAAGCTTTGATGATGATTTTTATGAGTATCAAATGTCCATCTCATATAATACTTGGCAGCATCAAAACCTCTTTTACCGTATAATTTTTCGCTTTCTCGTCTCTAAGTTGCTTTTTGCTCTCTCCAGCACCTTGAAATACTTATTTTTTCCTAGCTTATCCGGATGGTAGAGCAAAGAAAGGCTTAGAAAATGCCTTGCTACCGTTTCAGATATCAAAGAGACTTGGAGGCACTGGGAAAGGGCTCTGAAGTTTATACGACTGCATTTGTTTCCAAAACAAGTCCTTCGCTAAGCTCCCTCTTTTTTAATTTTTATTTCAGCTTTTCAGCTCCCTTTGGTTCTTAGAGATTAACCTTTTTTTCTCCATCAGAATTTGTTCCCTATCTACTTCGAGTTTTTATTTTATTTTAAACTTTTTTTTTATTTTCAAATTAAATTTAAATTTTATTTTGCTAGGTTAAACATTCAAATTCAAAATCCCTCCATCCGTTGGAATTCATCATTCAATTTACCGATCTCATCTGGAGACCTTTTCAATTGTTCACCGAGTTGTACACTCGTTATTCTCAGCTTCTCGCCGTTATCAAGGTAATTTTTGGCATCCCGATTTTTGTGAGTGAAACTTTGAAGTTCTTGGAAAACTTTTGATGACAGACTCAACACATTAGGACCACAGTGCAGTTTTTAGCGTAAACACTAACTACCCTGTATACGACTGGCGATACCACGTCTTCAATTTCAATTAGTTTTCGCAAAAAAAAACTGATTTCCTCCACTACAGGCTCTGCACGTTTCTTCCTCCAAACAAACAAGGTTATTCTTTTACTTGCATATTTTTCTTTCTGGCATTGTTCCTCAAATGCATATCAAAACTGTTTTCCACCAACGGATTTAACGTGATTCCCCCATCCTTCATCATAGCTGCAGAGAAAAACATACGCAAATTCAATCTCAAAATTTTACATAGAACATAAACTGTTAGCATAGTGATTGCATTTTCTATAGCTATTTTTCAATAAAGGAGCATCTGTGTTTCCATTTTTGCCAACTAAGGAAACTAGTACCAGCTGGATGGTGAAAATTTCAATCCGAATTGACCCAACTGATCTTGAGAGTAAAGTATGTTTAATCTCAGGCAGACTTCTCTTCTTGCTCTTTTCTTCCTACTGTGTTTCATAAATTGTGATAATTGGCTACCTCTCTAATCTTCATTCCTGAACAAACCTTCACCGGCTAAATAATATGAGCTGTGAAATGCATGATTTTTGCCGGTTGCTCCAATCCTATTGGGCGTGGGAATCAAACTCAATTGTATTGCATATGATGCACAGGATACATTACCTCAAAAGCAAAAGCCTTAGAATAGAATTCATTGCACATTTTGAGAGTATAGTTGCAAAAAAAACTCTTCTGATTGGGTCCATTTATTTTAACTGCGACTCACTACTAACATTTGCGATATCAACCGGTTTTTTTTCTGTTCAAAAGAATGTTTGCCAATTTGACCTGTAATTTTGCAAGTAGATGATTGTACAACCAAGATCCCGCTTTTCTGAATTGATAAATCAGAGGCAATTTCTTTTCTATGTTGGAATATTCCCCACTTCTAATTTCATCAGTTAAATGTAAAATAATACCAGCTATATCACTTTCGTGCGTGCTTTTCTAGAATACGTAAGTTATTCTTACCTGTAAAAATTTTCCACTTGCAAAACGTTTCTAACTCACTCTGTATTACGTCTTTAGCGGTTAATCCCACAAAGTTGCTGAAAACTAAATAGGGTTTTATTGGATGAGAAAAAAACATCGAGCGATAATTTGTTTTTTTCACGAGTACGTCCTGAAATATGTTTTGATTTTTTGATTTTTTAAAATTTCCAGGTGAAATACATCTTTTTCCAGACTATTCATTTTTCCCTGATAGATAATTACTGTTTTTGGTTGGCACAAGCACTGCACTACTTGTGCCTGACCATTTTGCTAACGAAAACAGTCGTTCTCCAATTGTTTCAATATCGTGCAAGTACGTTACCGGCTCAAATTCAAAATTATTGTTATCACAACTCTTCGCTTGTGGAATTCGTACCAAAACACTACCAGTATTTGCATTTCTTACTTTTGCATACAAGGTTCCAATGGTTAATCAACATTGACTAGAACTGAGCCCGTAGTTTTTTGGTGAATTTGTAGGTGAATTCTACTTCCACGGAAATACATAATTGACACCTTTATTGTTCCTTTTCCTCATGAAAATTTCTGAAAAACTTTCATTGAACTATTCGAACTGTCTGATGCTGCAAAACTATCTATTTTCTTCTGAGGTATTCATATATCCTCATTTCCAAAACGTGACTTTTTTTTACCGTTTTTGCATCCCATATTTCTAACAATCTGGTTCACTGAGTGGATAGAAGGTTTAAAATGGGAATAATCAAGCAGATATGTTGCATCGTCCCACCAGATGCTGCTTAAAGCACCGTCACGGAACACAAAGCCAAATAAATGCAATACTTTAATCTCACTTCTGATGCTACCTGTTTAAGCAACAGCTCTTCTCATTTTAGCATTTCAGGTTTCCCTTTTGTTTGAGTACAATTACTTTTATCACTCAATGATACTTTTTCAGTCCTAATTGTGTTTTCGAAACCATTTGATTATAAAATTTCGGCGGTCAGACATAGCAGTTTTATCATCAACCCAGCAATGAAAGCTTTCTGGTTTTTCCATTATGAGGATATGCATTTTGTTTTCACGAGTTTATTACCTAAGCAGAAGCACTATTATTATCATTAGCATCATCTGAGGTTTTTTTACAACAAATAGTCCCTGAATCTTTTCGGCGATGACTTTTCACTCGGATTTCTATTGATATAGCGTTTATTATCTCCCGTTCCCTTCTATGATGTCTTTTTTTCAGGGGTAAAAAGACTAGGAGTTTTTCTTTTCGGGTTGGCATTGGGAAACTCAACAATTACGAAATCGTTTTCTTGTTGCTCAGTTTTTGCATGGTTCTTGGCGCGAATTTTCTGACCTCCTGCTTTTTGAGCCTTTATTTTTGTTCGATTATGAAAAAACTTCTAACTTATCATACTGGTTTTCGCGCTGTTTCTTAGAATTTTTGCCTTAATCAAAAAATTTAGATAATTCACAATTCTTTGAAAATGTGTGCTCCGTTTTAGAATGATTTAAAACTTTTTATCTATCTCTGCAAAGAGTTGTGTTAAAAAGCAGTATTTTGTTGGTTGTTCACGCGATATTTAGGTTCGTATTGTTTTTTTTATCGTAGTAGGTCTTTTGCCGTTCTTGTTCGACATTCATCGTTTCGCGCACCAGTTAGTGGTATCTTTGGTGTCGTTTTTTCAAGATTCTATTAGCGTTGCAAAAAAATTATTTTTTGATGTTTCATACAAGCACCCTACTGGCAAGGAGCAAGAGTGATGAAGTGATACCGCCTGTATTTTGTCACTGCATGAATTGAAGATCTATAAGCCATCATAATTGTTTGAAGATATTTGAATCAGTCCTTGTGGTTTTCTCCCACAAACTTAAACAATGTTTCTTCAATTTTTTTGTTGGTTCTTTCGATCCTTGCGTTTCGCTGAGGGTTATAGGATGTTGTGCTATTTCTATCGATTCACAGTTCGGGAGCACAACTTTTTGAAAAGATGCGACATGATGTTTGATCCCATGTCGCTCTGCAGATATGCTGGGCAGCCAAACTTGGAATCCAATTATTGACCAACACCTTAGATGATGTCTTGATTCCTTGGTTTCGCAATGGTACTGATTCGTATCATTTTGAGAACTGATCTCGAATTAGAAGAACGTTTTTGAATCAATCAGTTTCCGGTAACGCTCGGATGCGATCCTGTGTTACCTGGCAAAATAGATGGCTGGGCTTACATGTCTGCATTGGAGGCCCATGCTTCTGTCTAGGTTTCTTTTTGACTATATTTTTTACAGCTTTTAAACCAATCTTTAGTATCTTATTCCAGGCCAATAAAATCTTTCTTTGGGTTTAT